TTCGACAGCAAGGTAGCAACTGTTTCAGATCGAATGCAGACGGACAGCGCACCAGAGACAATGGCCGGGTACTGAAATAGAACGTCACTAAAAAGTTCTGTATGATTAATTTAGATATCATATCCACTCTTTCAACATAAAACAGTCATTTATTTTGTGTACAAACATTTTGCAATATTTACACGATTGTGCTTTTTTGTAAACACGCGTTGCGTGTATTCCACACAATTGCGTGACTCATTTTACTCGCGCATGCTCAGACAAATTTCCCACCTGTTGAACTGTTTAGTTTAAAATATGTCTTGATTTTTTGTGACGAATAGATTCCTTATTTGCCATCGTTCGTTTTCGTTCATCATGAGGCAGTCATGTTGTCTTTGACTAGGATGACCAACTTGACAACCATTACAGGATTCCACACAAAGTTTTTCAACTTTTGGCTGCAAAGCGCTCCTGTCTTGTCTAGATCGCTTTCTCTCTTCCCGAACGGATAACCCGCGACGCCCGCGCAATGAATATCCTAATCTACCCGTATTTATCCACACAGTAGAAAAATGTAAATCTCTGATAAAAGTTAATCCTTTAATTAGTTTCACCCTAACAACACATAGCAACCGGTGTGCTTTAATATAACTTAAATTTATTAACCTTATCCGAGTTTTAGTACTTTAAAAACCTAACACTAAAATATAGAAATCACTTGACAATTGTATATCATGACCTCTAACTTCCATGTGTTTATATAACTCTGACAGCAACATATTCTCTCCTATGGCAGATCGGGATTAAAATATTAGCTTAATTGTAGATACATAACTCTTTACCGCATGCTATTTCTCAGCGTTTTGACGCTTGATAATATTTATATGTTACTTAACAACAAAACATATAGTTGTGTACCCCGAATATATAAGTTTTAGATATATAACACTAATGCTATTTCATATAGTATCAGATTTTTTACTCCTCTAGGAGCTAAATTAAAAAAATTACTTGACAATAACAGCAAAATGCTATAGCTGCGCTTATAAAACTCCAAACAACAACATATTCTCTTGTATATAACCCTAATTATTGTATCATACACGTGGGGGGATCCCTAAAAAATGCATAGTCAGCAAATTTCGCCCGATCGTGTTTAAGCTCGCCCGCGTGACGTCATTGCATGTAATTATGACGTATGCTAAGGATAATGCGCCGCCCCGCGCCGCCCCGTGCCGCCCCAAAAAAGGGGGTCGAACGGCCTCTATATTACTACTCATATAAATAGATATTATTAACTCAAAATGTTTTATTATGTTTTGAAATATATCCCTGTAAATTAGATACCTTTCAATTAAACTTTTTGCGACAACGCGAACACTGGTGGTTTTTGTCACTGTAAGATTTCATATGTCGGTTGAGGTTGTCCGAACGCGTAAATACGCGACCACATTCATCACAACACAAACTTGGTTCTGTCGGATCGTTCCATTCCGCAAGAATCTCCTCTTGAGTTTCAGGGGACCAAGAAAATGTGTCCACGGCACAAAGCCGGGGAGTTTCACACGTCCTTGTTTAAACCTGCCCGCGTGACGTTATTGCATATAATTATGACGTATTCTAACGGGTGACGTCATTACTCCTCATTCCTCCTCACTCCTCCTCCTCACCACCTCCACCACCTCCACCACACTCCACCACACTCCACCACACTCCACTACACTCCACCACACTCCATCACACTCCACCACACTCCACCACACTCCACCACACTCCACCACAAAAATGGGGGTCGAAAGGTACCTATATTACTACTAATGATTGAATTTTATTTTTTTGTTGCATTGTTTGAAACGTCAAGCATATTGGAATTTAAATCACCCAGCATGTAAAATTCCTTATTCTCATTAATTAATTGCGCAATATTGGCAAAAGAGTTGACAAAAGCACCGGCATGCATGGAGGTATACAGGGTGTATAAAAAAAACTGAACCCTTTTAAATTCAAATTGGCTATAACGTATTGTAGTAAATTGACAGCTCTAATTGCCTTGAATTAATGGTTGGGTAAGAACACAAGGAATACTATATTTCTTTTAAATTTTCTAATTTATATTTCTTTGAGTTTTGTCCCATGAGTACAAGACCTAGTGTTCTTGTCCAACTATTAATTTAAAGCAATTAGAGCTGTCAAATTACTGCAATACATTATAGCTAATTTGAATTTGAAAGGGTTCAGGGTTTTTTTATACACACTGTATAACTGGTACTATTAACAATAAACTGAGAAATGAGTTTGTCAACTTCAATACAAACTGCTTCAAGATTATCTCTAATCACATCTTTTCGCTCGAAATAATTAAGGGAATTTCTTACATATAAACAGACGCCTCCCCCTGTTCTAGAGCGATCGGCCCTAATTAGCTAAATCATAATTGTGAATAAACATATCCTGATTCGCAATATTATTAATTAGTCCCGTTTAGTGCGAGAATATCGAAACATTTTTCAGATAATATTACTCTAATTTCTTCTATATAATTAGGTAAGCTATAGTTAGCATACCCATTTTAATTAAAACCCTTTTTCTTCGTGACATATGCTTGCAATATGCATTTACTAACAATATCGTCTCAACGCGTGATGATGTTTTCCTTACTGTGGCACCGAATACGCACATATCAGCGCGCAATAGGTAATAAACAATCGCTCTCGTACGATTGTTGCATTAGTTAAAATTGAAATTATCTGTATTTCTAGTCTACAGATGGTTAATAAACAGGACCGTCCTTACCTTGAGCTTTTTCAGGTATTGGTTTATCCATTTAAAACTTCTTCTGTGATCACAGAAACTTTGGTAGTGTAAACCGGGTTTTATAATCTGATGATGATTTTATAAACTCCATAGACTGTGTCTATGATATGTTGGATACCTCTTTCGGAAACAAAACAATAGCCTATACAACACACGATCAGTGAATAACTTTTGACAATAATTTCCATAATTTTACACAATACTGTTAAAGTCATTAAAATTCCTTCAAAACTGTTTTTATTTATTTTGATGTTTTTAGGGTTTGTAATCCAAGTGAATATACATTTTAAGACCTGGCCCGGAACGACTGCGAAAAATGCAGCTTTCCTCTGGTAGGAATTGAACCTACGGCCCTGCGATACCGGTGCAGCGCTCTAACCAACTGAGCTACAAAGGCTAGCTGTTGAGCTGTGATCGTAAGTTCATGTATATATAGGTAACCGGGTGTACGGGTTGTGATAAGGTGGACTTCAGTGATAAGGTGGACTTCAATGATATGGTTTCTTGCACTTCACTTGGTAGAATTAATATTAGAATGCTATTTTTAGGACTTGCCGATACATGACATCAACATTTCTGCTGTTTATAATTGATCTATTTCATTTTAGAAAATGTCATAGTCAGGGTTAATGGAGCACAAATCAATTGTTTATGCCAAGTAAATATATAAAAAAGATCACATATTGAAGGTCATTCATCAATGACAAATGTTAACAAATATGGAAATTAGAAGTATAATCGATGCATATAGTTCTTGAATAGAATGACATAATTCAGCATACCAGATCCATGCAATAATATTTTGTTGTGGAAGAAAATCCAATAAACAGAATAGTAGGTTTAGTTTTGTACATTGTGTGCTATAAATAACATCCCATTATGACATATGGTTGTTGTTGATTGTAAGACAATATAGTATGGGATAGGCGAAACGGGATATAAATTTCTTACCTGGTGTTCTTGGCAATGATATTCAGTTGCAGAAATCAGGGTGGGTGAAGAACGGAGCACCAACTCTGGATATATAGTTGTATACTGCAAGTTGATAATTATGACTGGTTGCAACTGTTACTATAAGTATTGATATTCCAATCTGAAGCTGAATCTCTACTCTTTATGCAGCACTATTAATTGGTTTAATGAAAGCAATAATTTATCAATGCAGATACTGCTTTATGATCAAAGAAATGTTCCAATGCCGCTGAGTAAACAACAAGGAATTATTAATGCGCATATAGAAATAGAATACCTATTTCAAGATTGCAAACACGGCCGTCTAATAGCAGATTTCTAAAAGCACTATTCCTTGCCCTTTTCTCTCGCGGCGAGGCTGGTATATTAAGAAGCAAAACAGTGATTTTAAACACACACAACATCTGCACCCAAAAAAGCCGTGGGATAATATGCCTAAATACAGAATACGTTGCCCCTTTCTACAAAGGAGAGGGTTTTGCCTGAAAGGAGACCAATGCGATTTTTCACATAGTGATACCTCAAATATTCCGTCGACTCAAAGGCCTAACATGAACTATCCTAGTCCTTTTTTATCCCACCAGCAAAGGAAAATGACCCCAAATTATGGCAAGTCCCCCCAACAACCCCATGATACCATGGTCAACCTACCCGTGACCAAAACCTTTAATGGACATCCCAATATATTCACCTCGTGTAGTACATCGACCAACCTACCCCCTTCACCTACGACCCCCCCGTTTATTGAGTCACGAGACCTCCCCCCTACGCACATTTAGAAATTTAATAACTGTTTCACTCAAAAAACATACAACAAATACGAAGTCAAGTGAAACCCAACGATAATTCTCAATTTGTTCCAACACTATTACTTTCGAATACAATGTCATTGGCCCCAAAAATGATGAAATAGCGTTTACTATACAACAGATAGATATTCAAGTAGGCTTCTTTACCGAAACATGGTTGAAAGATTAAATCGCAATTAATGACCCAATTGCTATTATCTGGTTATCAACTATTTAGATTAGATCGCAAAAATGAGCAGCATGGCGGTGTGTGCTTATATATGTGAAGAACACTATTGAGAGGAAAACTTTGTTCCGTACTACATAAGGAGGATTATGAAGTTCTGTGATGTATACTACGAACAAAACGTTTACCTCGAGCTAGGTTTTTCAAATATTATTGCAGGTCTGCTTTATCACCCTCCAGGGGCGAATAACACAACAATGAAGGAACACCTTAAATCATCACTGGAAATAATAGATACACATTATCCAAATAATGGCATAGTTCTGGCTGGTGATTTTAACCAACTCGATTTTAAATCAACTGCGAAACTTTTTAACTTAAAACCTGCTATAAATTTCTCTACTCGAGGAATTAATACCCTTGATCAGAATTTTACAAATCTTAAAAACTTTTATAATCCAGCAGAAAGTGGTCCACCGTTTGGCTTATCTGATCATGTTTACGATCACTATTATTCCAGTGTCAATTTACGACCCCAAAAAACGACAATAAAAGTACGGGATAAAAGACCAAGCAATGTTGCAAGCCTTGGCCGTTTCCTTTTGAATATCTCGTGGGAAATATGTTGTCATCTCTGCGATCTTCTGATGATAAACTAACAACATTTACAGAAATAATAAATTATGGTTTAAATACCATAATGCCAGAAAGATCAGTTAAAGTAAACCCAAATGATCGTCCGTGGATGACTATTAGAAACGCTTTATTTTACAAAGACAAAAAGCATTTGCCTTAGGTAACAATTTCATGTTTAAATTGCAGCGAAACAAAGTAAATCGGGAAAGAAAACGTTGTCGTAAAGTATACTATAAGAAAAAAGTTAGCAACCTCCTGGATTCGAAACCTAAAGACTGGTGGCGAGAGGTAAAATAGCTCAGTGGTCAGCAATCAACATGGCCAGACCCCAGATCCATGATTAGATTTGACGTTGAGGACAGTGATGAAGGTTTAGGAAATAGGATTAATGAGGCCTTTATCAGTGTCATGAAAGATTACCCCCGCTGACAGAAGATTTTAACCTATCGACTGACAATGATAAACCAAGTAGCGTCTCAGAAACAACAGTGGAGCGGCTACTACGTGCAATCAGTGTTTCCAAAGCTAGCGATCCTGAAAAATTAACCATCATTTATCATTACTTATTAGAGGAGGATAGCAATGGTCAGGTGTGTGGGGGTGTACTCCCCCAGAAAATTTTTGAAGTTTGAACCACGGAAATGCCATTTCTTGCATTCTGAGCATCCAAATTTGCTCTACAATTTATGCGAACTATAGTTGTATTTGAAATAAAACATGGAAAAATGCACAAAAAGTAAAAAAGAATATTAACTGTAATTTATCATTACTTATTACAAGGATAATCCCAAGAAAAATTTTGAAATTTGAAACTGTGAAATGCTATTTTCTGCATTCTGAGCATCCAAAAAATAAAAAAAAATATTAACAATAATTTATCATGGCTTAGTGGTAAAAAAGTAACAATTTAAATCGATTTTGTTAAACAAGAACAAAGGATAAAGCCTAAAACTTACTTTCCGTTTATCTATTTGTTAATCTTCGCTGGATTGTTTGTATAATTTTAGGAAAAAGGGACTTTTCCTGGGGGGGGGGCAAAATGTGATTTCGTGGGGGGGGCACAAGGGGGGACTGGGGAGGGGCAAATGCCCCCCCCCCCCAGCTTGTATGTTAAAAAAGGCCCTGATGAACTCCCCAATTGGGCACCTGCAATTACTGATATATTTAATGCATCCTTCCGTGAATGCAAGGTGACGACGGTATGGAAAATAGCAGATGTTCCACCTGTTCCTAAAGCCAAAAACATTACCGATTTTAGCAAGGACTTGAGGCCAATATCCTTAACTTCAACATTGTCAAAAATTGCAGAAAACCTCATCATCGAGTATGAATTAAAACATAAACAACTAAAAAAGATGGCCCCAATGCCATTTTGCTTTATCCCAGGATCAAACACGACTCTTGCGCTTATTTTAATGATGCAATTCCGTAGAAAAGGCTTCTAAGAGACTTTATTTATTAAGACAATTAAAATGTGCTGAAGTGGAAACTAGATCTTTAGATCCTTATACAAGTTTTATACTGCGTGTATAAGATCTGTCGTTGAGTATGCTTGCCAAGTCTTCCACTCGAGTCTCCTTAACTACCTATCAATGGAAATGGAAAGTATTCAGAAGCGGGCACTACGGATTATCCACCCAGACTCGAGTTACATCGAAGCATTAAAAAAGGCAACAACGTTGGAAACATTGTACGATCGAAAAGAAAAGTTGTGTGTAAAACTATTTTCATCAATCGAAGCAAATGATGATCATAAGTTAAAGGAATTATTGCCATCGAAAAATTCACAACCAAACAATCTCAGAACAAACAGAAAATATAATCTTCCCAAGATGCAAACGAACCGATTCAGTAATTCCTTTAGTACTATTTACAACATGAGCGGCCGTGTTGTATCGGATATACAAACTCGAGCCGAAGGCGAGAGTTTGCCATATCCGATACAACACGGACACGAATTGGGCGTCAAGGCGACCATTAATTGTCGCCTTGACCGAGCTATTTTTAAAACTATTGTTTATGTGAACTTGCAACCAATCAAAACCTTTCATGATGCTGATCAACCAATCAGAATTTCCGTCCACCAGATCGACGGGAATCCCACAGTTTAGACAGGTTTTGTGTCAGGCCCTATTTAGAATTAGAGCCTAAATTTCAGGTTATTACAACAGTTAGGCCTATCACCTGTGCAAGACAGTTTGAGACAAAACAACGAACCTCTTTTAAAGAGAATAATATATCAAGATTAGTCAAGAATTATATCGGAGAAAAATGTCCCAAGATCGGCTTTTGAGGTAGGGGGTCAATCATTTTACGATAACGATTTTCTACACGTAAAGGTTGATTGATGCATTTGACGGATTGTACTTGTATTACAAATATTCTGAAGTGCAAGCGTACTACTTGTATGGGATATAATTATATCGTAAAATTCTTGTAATCGCACGAAGAATTTAAGTTAGTTGGTCCTTCGGTGCATTCTGGCAAAGCATTTTACAGAACGTCTTTTAAAAATATATAACTTTTTAAGTTCTGAACAATATTTCAGTGGAGCATGTATAAATTTTCTTTTTGCAAAGACTTGCAAAAAATTTTCACCGGTCTAAAATTAATTTAGGTTAGATTATATTCCTATTTAAATTTTCCTCCCTTGAGATCCAGTATAAACCTCACCAGTTAGCGATACAGTATTAAAACGCAACTATTTATTGTGTCACCATTTCTACTGAAGCAAATCTAAACCAGAGTAAACTAAGTTTATATAATTATTTTTCACCTGAATCACCTCAGCTACGAACAAAAATATCTTCGATGTTTCAACTAGCGAAAACGTCAAAGGCAAAGCACTTAATTCGCCTGGGAGTTGGGACACGAAAAGCATTGGATAAGAAACTCGTCGATCATAAAAGCACGGGATAAGAAACTCATGATCGATCACGCATGATGTTTCAGCGTGCATATGGCTTCGCAACCTTCTTGAAAAATATGACAACGCTAAATCCAAAATAATAATTCCACGTTTAGCAATAATGCCGTTGAGCATTTTAGTAAAAAAACTACAAGCATGTCATTATCTCTACGATGGAATACTTAAATATTCTTGGTCAGGGAACATATGAAGCATTAGACGGTGAACTATAGGCGTCACAAATTTCAATTATATCAACAGTAGTTATTGCGACGCTAATTGCTTGGTTACGAATATAAAAAAAAACATAAAGCAAAGACGAACATTAACTCGAACAGTTTGCCGTGGCAAGGGCAGGTTTAAAAGGCAATGAAACCATTTTGAACCTCAACTAAAACTTAACTATGTACATGGAAATATTCGGACATCACGAATTTCAAATAGGCCACGTCTGCATGCTGGCGTCTGGTCACGGAAAGAAACGGCCCTTGGCCACAGAATAGGGACCTTACAGAAAGTCGATCGAGTTCTTGGTTGTTGTTTCTTAGTTTCTCACTTTGGTGAGCGATTGTCCCAACAGGCTATTGCCTAATTCATAGGGGACCCGAGGTACCTGCGATTTTAACGTCCCTATCTGAGAAAACTCGAAAGTCTAACTATTTACTAATGTCAATGTAAAGGTATAGTATAGCACTTTCTCGACCTCGAGTAGGAGTCCGGCCAAGGATTGAATCTGTATCTGCCAGCTTGAAAGGCAAGCGTGATGAACATCACGCCCCAAGAGCTGATTAAACCACAAGAGCTCGTCACATGTTTTGCCTATGATTTTGGCGTAGCTGTTGCAATGCTGTCGCCATCTTCCTAGCCAGTGCGCTTACAGGAGGCCTTCAATTCATCCCCTGAAAATATTCAAAATAGACGATGTTCAGAGGGATGATCGAATGTCTCTGGTAAGCCTACTGGCTACGAGGAACATGACGAGTGCATTTTGATGACGAATCATTGAGAATTATAGTGTGGCGCCGGTTAGACTTTTTTTGCTGAGTTGACCTTCTTCTGTAAAGTTTATATTCTGTGCTCTGGGCCACCTGCATGTTCGCAAGTGACGCTTCAGGGAGTCTATCCTCGCAGCTACCGAAGGTTTGCCGGGAAATTGATCAAATTTACTTGATATCTTTTTTGCATGCTGAAAATAGTTGTCCCCGCGGACAAATAGCGTTGACACATCAGTGTCAAAAAGCAAATATTTTTTACCCCCAGAACGACTCTTTTATGAAGTTCTTTTAGACTCTATTGAATTTACAGAGCATGTTTCGCATCTTACAAGAGTTTAGAACATGTTCTTCAACTTAACATATAGAAATAACAAGTGACCTATAATTACTGGATATCATTCATATGACAACTGATAAATGAGTGTCAGAAGATGACCTATACAAGTTTCTCTTCTATAGTTTGGGCGCCATCATTTTGGCAACACTGTCTTACACGTTGGCGTTCAACAGTCAACCACAATTGACCATAAAAGCAGTGAAAAACAAAACGTTTGACGACTTCTATATCATCGGGCAAACATTCGACACTGGAAACATAGCAGATTGTCTGGAGCACTGTTTAGAGGACTGTCTGTGTCAGTCGTTTCAAATTTGTGGAGGGACAAAATGTCAGCTGTGTTCAAGTCACAAGGAAGAGAACAGCTCATTGCTTCATGACAATGATACCTGCATCTATGCTATGTACGAGATGCGAAATGCTCAGGTATGACCACGTTTTTAAACTTTGCAAATATGCTTTTCCAATTTTTCGTCTCACAACGTTACGGCTTAAATTCGCTCTTTTTAATTTGTTACGAGGCTTTATTTAGGTAGTGAATCGTTACAACTTTTCTAATTATTGTCACTAATGTTAATATTGGAATAGTTCTGCTTCAAAGTTCTCTTCTTTCTGCAGCCTTTCTTCGTTGTTTTTAGTTCGTCTTTACTACGTATTCGTTGTTCGTCTTGTTTCGTTTTGAGCTTTCTACAACTTTTCATACATGATTTTTACTTCGTTTAGTCCACCCGATTGTCCACTGACGAATTTGGGTTGTGCACGCCCTATTATCCTAACGGTTGAGGGGATCTTTATACACGTGCTCTAGCAAGTGGTCGGATTTGTATCCAGCCAATTAACGTTGAGTTATAAAAGTGTGGGTTGGCGTTGCTAGCTCGTTCCAGCCCTCACACTCTGTTTATTTAAGGCGTTGTCGCACTGGTCGAGTCGGTTCGCTGCTCAATCGATCAATGTTAAAATATGTTCACAACTTAAAATACTTATCAAAATATCATAGTAAAATCTTCAACCTATACCTATGTAAACCTTACTTTACCTACTAAATTAAATTTATACTTACAATTTTATTGAACGAGATTTTGATGACGTAATGTTATAATTACTCGACCGCGCGAAATATACCGAAGAATGACTGACAGAAACGCCCTAAGCATGCACATTTTCCATGTCAAAGAAGAACCAGCCTTGGACTTTGAATTATGTAAACACAACAGCCCACCATGCAATGCTATCGTCCCACTTTGACCGTTTGACAAAGCATTTATCTTGCCTAATGGACAGATAATTGACACTTTTACACAGATAATTGACACTTTTATGGCATCTGCGTTTTACAGCAAAAATGCTCATTATCTCTCCATTTGACGTAACTGGTATATGTATAATTACCTGGGGTGCAAACTGAACTATTTTTATACTATTTCGATATACTTTCGTAACAATCCTTCTCGTCTTGATTAAGCTGCCCTCAGCTTTCGAGATATATAAAAAATAAATGACTATATATTGTTCATATTGTTTTAAGCTCGGCGTGGCTTAACACGGGCATATTACCAAATGCCTAATAACTGAGTCCATACATATAGTACATGTTAAATGACAAATTATATGTTAACACTGCATAAGAGATTATGCAAGAAATATTATACTTATGCCTAAATGTACCTCAGGAGTAATTTACTTAATTAATAATATATTTTAGCGATATATTACACGTGAGAATAAAGTAAGTCACACCAAAATGAATGTGAAAACAAAGCACAAAATTGTTTGTTTTCCTGAAAGTATATGTACTAGGGACTAAAACAAATTATTTTGTCGATTCAATCAAAACGTCTGCCAAAACCGATTTAGTTTTCATAAAATAACTTACTTTTGCTACAGCGAAAATTTTATTCAAATTCTTGGTTGATAAACTGTACACAACAGAAGATTATTATAAAGCTCTTCCGACATAATATTTCTCTATAATATTAACCTAAAACTGAATATTTACTTTAAATATTCCTTAATTTAATATACTTCTTAAATTAATAAACATCTTAAACTTCAAAAATTTTCAAATACATGCAACGACATTTTTATACCTCTTAATAATACTCAAACTTATTTAATTTAACAAACACGTCATGCGTAGCATATCAAACTCAAATGTAGGTTTTCATCCGACAGAAAAGTTATACCAAATCTACATAGAGAAAAGTTAACAAGAATGTGCATAATATTTACGCTTTTGGCTTGAAAAGAAATCCTAATCCGTTCAAAAAGAATGGGAGACCCTTTGACTGTCCCGGGGAGAGAAAACAAAATAATATATACAAATAAGTTGAAACACATAAAAATGATATGGATTAGTTAAAATACTTTTTTTAAATCTGACCCAACTAATTGCATGCATGCGCTAACCTACAGCATGCAACATGTAGCTATACGTGTTGAGTGTACCTAAGATATTTTGGGTTGGCATATATATTCTCACGAGTCTGGCTAATATAATAAGAAAAAAAAATACACAAATCGCATGCAATTTAGTCGAAAAACGAGTAATAAATCATAATGTAAATAATAAAAATATATATATACAAAACTTAAGGGTGTCCAGTTTCAAGTCAGTGTTCATGTCCGTCGTTATCGGGAATTTGAAGTTATATAGATCTGCGTCATATTCGCACTTTCAACCACGGGGGATTCCAAACGGTATCCTCCGTGACCAGGGACATATTACCACTTGGATTGTAACACTCGGCTGGAAGGTTACCTTGATTTGCAAAGTGATCTACATGAGCAATTGTTCCAGAAACTGCGGCCACAAGTTTGAAGAAGAACAACAGCGCCAAAAAATATCGGCAGTTCATCTTGCAAGTGATTTTATGACGAGTGGAACTATATCGTGAAGAGTTTATTGTTTATACACGGGAAATACGTCTGCGCTAGGACCTCGTAAGCTTTACCGGGATCTTTTTAATTAAGCCTGCATCCTTCACCACTGTTACGAGGCTTTATTTAGGTAGTGAATCGTTACAACTTTTCTAATTATTGTCACTAATGTTAATATTGGAATAGTTCTGCTTCGAAGTTCTCTTCTTTCTGCAGCCTTTCTTCGTTGCGTTTAGTTCCGGCTTTACTACGTATTCGTTGTTCGTCTTGTTTCGTTTTGAGCTTTCTACAACTTTTTCATACACAATTTTTTACTTCGTTTAATCCACCCGATAGTCCACTGACGAATTTTGGTTGTGCACGCCCTATTATACTAACGGTCGAGGGGATCTTTGTACACGTGCTCTAGCAAGTGGTCGGATTTGTATCCAGCCAATCAACGTTGAGTTATAAAAGTGTGGGTTGGAGTTGCTAGCTCGTTTCAGCTCTCACATTCTGTTTACTTAAAGTGTTGTCGCACTGGTCGAGTCGGTTCGCTGTACAATCGATCAATGTTAAAATATGTTCACAACTTAAAATACTTATCAAAATATCATAGTAAAATCTTCAACCTATACCTATGTAAACCTTACTTTGCCTGCTAAATTAAATTTATACTTACAATTTTATTGAACGAGATTTTGATGACGTAATGTTATAATTACTCGACCGCGCGAAATATACCGAAGAATGACTGACAGAAACGCCCTAAGCATGCACATTTTCCATGTCAAAGAAGAACCAGCCTTGGACTTTGACAGTTTGATAAATCATTTATCTTGCCTAATGGAAAGATAACTGAGACTTTTACACAAGTCCGAAATGATATTTACTTTATCTGCCTTTTACGGCATGTTGTAAAAGACGGACTGGAC